CGGCTCTTAGTGAAGAAACCAACCTTAGCGTAGATATAATGAATGATAATCTGACGAGTATCATTACGGAGTGTGCAGTGGAAGTTGGAGGCAGGGTAGCTAGACAGGACACTGGCAAGCTTTCCCAGGAAACGAAGAACCTAATTAAGAAGCGTCAAATCATGAAAGTGACAAGTACAACAGACAAAATAGAACTGGCAGAGCTTTCGAAGTTGATTAATAGACGTAAGGTATGCGATGCAAGAAGGCATAACATGGAGAGAATTGAACACGCTCTGAAAAACGGAGGAAGCGTCAAAGCAGTGAAGAGGAAACTTGGGCTAGGCAAAAGTCAAATGTATGCACTAAGGGACAAAGAAGGCAAAATAACTACCAATATGGATAGGATAGTTAAAATAGCGGAGGAGTTTTGCAGAGATCTGTACAGTAGCCGAGACAACCACGACCTTAATACTACAAGAACTAGCAGTAACCCAGATGACACCCCACCAGTAATGATAGAAGAAGTCAGAAAAGCTTTGGAGAGCATGCAAAGAGGCAAAGTTGCTGGTGAGGATCAGGTAACATCAGATCTGCTGAAAGATGGAGGGCAGATCGTGTTAGAAGAGCTAGTCACCCTGTTTACGAGGTGTCTCCTGACGGGAAGAGTACCAGAGTCTTGGAAAAACGCTAACATCATCTTAATACATAGGAAAGGACATGACAAGGACTTGAAGAATTACAGGCCGATCAGCTTGCTCTCTGTAGTATACAAGCTATTTACAAAGGTAATTGCTAACAGAGAAAAGAAAACATCAGAATTCAATCAACCAAAGGAACACGCAGGATTTCGAACAGTCTACTCAACAATTGACCACATTCACACTATAAATCAGGTAATAGAGAAATGCTCAGAGTATAACCAACCACTATACATAGCCTTCATAGATTACGAGAAGGCGTTTGATTCAGTAGAAATATCAACCGTCATGCAGACACTGCGGAATCAGGGCGTAGATGAAGTATATATAAACATTCTGGAAGAAATCTACAGGGGATCAACTGCTACCATAGTGCTTCATAAAGAAAGCAACAGAATACCAATCAAGAAGGGTATAAGGCAGGGGGACACAATCTCCCCAATGCTATTTACCGCGTGCTTACAGGAGGTTTTCAGAAGCCTAGAATGGGAACAGTTAGGGATAAGAGTTAATGGAGAATACCTTAGTAACCTGCGCTTCGCCGATGACATTGCATTGCTGAGTAACTCAGGGGACGAATTGCAACTCATAATTACGGAGTTAGACAAGGAGAGCAGAAAGGTGGGTCTTAAAATTAATCTGCAGAAAACGATAGTAATGTACAACAACCTCGGAAAGGAGCAGCGCTTCGAGATAGGTAATAGTGCACTTGAAGTTGTAAAAGACTATGTCTACTTAGGGCAGGTAATAACCGCAGAGCCGAACCACGAGATTGAAGTAACTAAAAGAATAAGAATGGGGTGGAGCACATTCGGCAAGCACTCTCAAATTATGACAGGTAGATTGCCACTATCCCTCAAGAGGAAGGTATATAACAGCTGTATCTTGCCGGTACTTGGACTACCTTTATCTTGGACTACCTTTTACTTGGACTACCTTTTACTTTTGGACTACCTTTTACTTGGACTACCTGTATCTTGCCGGCGCTTGGACTACCTTTAGTTGATTCTTTCAGAGTGTTAGCCTCTAACTCAGAGCACTCCTGATTGCTCTGACTTCGAAGTGAGAGTGTGGCGCGATCTGACCTGGAGGACGGTTCACGTGACACAAGCAAGCCAATACTGTGGCTGCTGGCAGGAGAACGAGGTGAGGGGTGTGAGAGTTCATTTCGAAAGGGGGTATCGCCGAACGCGTAATACTTTGTGCATGTGCGTTTTTAATGACGTTTTTTGTGTGTGTGGGATGAATTCACATCTACGAAGCCATAAATGCACCATGTCAATAACGAGGTGGCTAGCGAACGCAGAGGAAATGTCAAAGCTGTCGCTAAAGCAACTTGCAGACAGCCTCGTGATTTGTCTTGAAGATAGCATTTCGGACGAGGACGATCACCAGATTTATGTGTTGAGTTCAGGAGGCTTTCGCTACACCCAGACATGTCAGAGAGAGAGGATATAACAAGGGTCAGACATGTCAGAGACGTCCACTGAACTGATTGGCACCATTTGTCGACGCGGCACAGCAATATTTAACCAGCAGCTTCCAGCGCTAGCTGCGTGGTGGCGCTACAGGCGCAGTGCACTAAGTGCTTTGACATTGCCGATGTAGTCGGTTGGTACGCTGCCTCTCGCGCTCTGACTGCTAGCTGCCTCTCATCTGGCAACTCTGAGCCAGAGGACCAGAGCGGCCAACCGAATACGCCAAAACATTGTAGGCCATTGCACCAAGAGTTGGTGCAATGGGGCTCTGAAATTTTGGGGATGCCAGTTAAGCTAAATATGAAGCCAATTCTTTCACACAGTTGAGCTTCACATTAATAAAAAACAGTACTATTCAACATTGGTTGCATTTTGATATCCAAGCTCTGTGCCCAAGCTCAAGAAATTAGTCTGCTTCTTCTCATATTATTCTCTTATTGCATAAACTTTTTATTCCAAATGAATACACTGTGGAAGAAAGCAGCATTTTAGCATGGAAATGAACCCCAGAAGTGCGTTTTCTTGGGCTAGTCGGTTACACATTGTATGAAAGGTAAAAGATGCGCAGAAATGACAAGACAAACGAAGAAACACACAGGATGAGCGCTGACTAAACACAGCAGTCATGCTTCTGTGAGCAGGCGAGTAGACTGTGTAACGTGGTTTAACCTGAGGATTTACTGCTTGGCCCGGCACATAAGTTGCTCTCATAGGTACAAGGAGTGAACGGCAGCAACAAACGATTAAAAGCCGTTCATGGCATCTCGCACAAAATTTAAAAAATCACCCCGAAATTGGACGTGGAAGTACTTTTTGGTGCCCCCGATAATCTAGGAAGACTTTGCAGACACGTCAACCAAGAAGGACCCACGAAGCTTCCGTGTACAACAAAACACAAAAGACCGTTTGTTGAAAGCACGGCGAACGTTGTCTATAAGGTCCCACTCTCCTGCAAGAAAACAGACACTGGACAAACAGGCGATTGTCTTAATTAGCCACTCGGCAAACATCTTAACAATCATCGTCTAAAACACGGCAGCAACATGGCGCTCCATTGTAGCACGTGAAGGTGCATGCCGAAGTTCAGAGACTGCAGTCATAGAAAAATACCCAAGCGTGCACAGTTGTCTGATAGCCGAGGCTTTCGCAATACTAAAGGGCGACACATGTGTTAGTGAACCATCCATAACACTGAGCAAAGAAGAGATTAACTATCTCACATGTGGCTAGGTGCACTCTTAAAATTGCAGTCTTGTCGACTTACAGCTTCCACACATTGTATCGTGACGAATGGCTTGGAATTGCACATGACTTGTTACCCCACACCTTTTTCCTTTATACTGCATTGAAGCAGTAAAACAGTCAGTCGTTAGTCAGCGCTCTTCCTGCATGTTTCTTCATTCGTCTCGTCTATTTTGTGCTGCTTTTACCTTTTACAATAGCGTGGAAAGCTTTTGCATGTTTCAAAAAGCTCACTGCATTAAAAATGTTTCCCAAAAACACGCGCTATACATAGCCACCATCATGCATGCAGGGTGAAAGTGGGTTGGTGCCCCAATTATTCTTCGTGAAAAGCCTGTGTGTTCACAAGATTGTCTGCAGCAGAAGCAATAGTGCTTAGCTACTGACCCGAAGGTCGCGGGTTCAGCCACGAGTGCAGCACTCGCATTTCGATGGAGAAGAGATGCTAGAGACCTGTCTGCCATGCGACGTTAGTACAGATTAAAAAACACTAGATGATCAAAATTTTTGGAGCTATCCACTATGGTGTCCCTCATAATCATATCATGGTTTTGGGACATAAAACTATAGATTCATTATGTTCACAAGTTAATTCATCTTTCATACCTGTGGCAAACGAAGAACATAAGATGCAAAATACCCAATAATAAACTACTCTAGACACAATTTTAGCCTGGCATTTCTTCACACAAAAGCACACCAATTGGAAGGATGTACTTGGCAGCTTTTAGCAATACAATCATTGTATTTAAGTACAACAGCAGAGTGTGTGGGGTGCTCTTGAGTTCTTTCTGACAACACGTGACTGACCCCACGTGACTGACAACTCTGATTTCAAACGACGATAAAAGCCTCTGTTTTCACAATCAAAACTGCGCTGCACTTGATGCGCATGCCGAACTGGTTCTGTGCAAGATGCGGCAATTAACTACTTGTGGTACACCGGAAGGACAAAAACTTCGTAAGCTAACTATGAATTCAAAAGTTACCAAGAAAAGCAAAAAAAAGTAGTTTCGTCACCACTGGCTGAATTAGGCATACACACACTTCATGGTTTTGACATCAGCTTTCAGATTGATTTAGGTCAGGTTAGGCGAGTTATTTCAAAAGGTGCTGTATGGCCTACAAAACACACAGGAATAAAGTAGCTTCTGAGCTTGCCTGAAATTAAACAAAATAGAATTACGATGGACAAAAAAGGCCGATTTTTCCGTTAGAAAAAATGCGATAGATAGGTAGATATGTGGAGTTTAACGTCCCAAAACCACCATATGATTATGAGAGACGCCGTAGTGGAGGGCTCCGAAAATTTAGACCACCGGGGGTTCTTTAACGTGCACCCAAATCTGAGCCCACGGGCCTACAACATTTCCGCCTCCATCGGAAATGCAGCCGCCGCAGCTGGGATTCGAACCCGCGACCTGCGGGTCAGCAGCCAAGTGCCTTAGCCACTCGACCACTGCGGCGGGGCGTTAGAAAAAAAAAAAAAAGTGAAGCAGTCAAAGCACCTTCGCAGAAAACTTTACATCAACGAGATGAAGAAGCAATAATATGTGTCTGATAATCCCCAACAAGTAACTACATAAAATGTTAAACTTACCCAAACTGCCAATCACTTGATGAGCAATGTCCTTGATCTGGTTGTAAGTATGCAGCTGCTCCATGTGCCAAGGAAGCTCCTCGATGGTGCAGCCCCTGAAGACACAGAAATGATGGTCACATCAAATCAAAATTGAGTTGTGCGGTTTTACATGCCTAAACCATGGCCCAATTATGAGGCATGCTGTAGCGAGAAGCTGTGTAATAATTGCCACCAAGGGCAAGCAAAGGCAATCTGAATAATATTCAAGGTATGACGATCCTTGATGCCGCAAAAAAATGGCAAGTGAGGGGGCACCTTCATAAAAGGGGGATAAAGCAAAAAATTTGGCAGGTCAACATGCTCGACGGCACACTTCGGTCTTATGATTTTGGCCATAATGACTCCCTGATGTTCTTTTTTTTCCTGTAGACATTTACAGGGAGTAACCCAATGCTCTCCCAAGTGCCCATTTCCCTGCTCTCAGGACTTGACGTGCTGCATAGCTCTAAAAGACGAAAAAAGTAGATGCATCAAGCAAGCGAACCACTCTGAACGTACTAGTGTGGTTGCAAGGATGTACCAAAAGCCACTTGTATTGAATGCAGCGCAGCACCAGGCACTTTGGCACTATAAGTTCCAAGGGCATGCGAGCTGAAATCAAATTGCACCGTCTAGCAATGAGCACCCACTGTCCTTACATCGCATGGCGCAAGCGCACCCAACATAAACCTCTGCTGTTCTTGACAATCATGCGCGCATGATATCCTGCTCATATTAACCACTGTTCAATACTCAGACTGAAGACGGCCAGCCTATGAAAATATTCATTTCCTTCTGATAGGAGCTACACAACATATTAATGGAATGTCCAGCACAGCTTTTACGATGTCTCTAAAATGCCTCTTGTCATCTCGGACCACAATGGTGGTGCTATGTCTCAGGCCTAATTAATGCAAAGGGGCTTATTCTTCTCCGTCAGTTGTTACTATAATGTAGAAAAAAAACACAGAAAAATGTTTCCTATACTTTCCTTGGCATTACTGGGTACAGTGAAACTTGTTTATAACGAACTCCAAAGTGCCGCGATAAATTCTTGTTATATATGTAGTTTGTTGTATATGGACCCACCCATGAAAATCAAAGTGGCCAAAGTGTTTTTTTTTTCTTGGGCATTTTTATTCAAAAGTGCGAAAAACAAGTGCTGACAAGTTGGGGCTTTTCACGTGTTAAACAATGGCCATTTTCGCAGCAGACTCGGGTCGTTTCATTGAAGCGCAGTACTGCCCCGTCGAACCAATCATACCTGACTAGCTGCGTGCAGCATGTCGCTTAGTCAGCTCTCGCCGTCGCATGCTAGTTCATTTCCAGTTTGATGTATGCGCACGTCTGAGCTTTCTTCGCGCATGCTTCACTCAGGATAGTGCTCGGCTGCGGCCAGTAGCCTGTTTGTTTACCACAACGAAGAATTTTGTGAGCAATGCGCGCAAACGGCCTCGCACGACGCAACGGCGGTGAACTTGCGAAATGGCAGCATAGCGCGCTTGTACTTCCGTTACTACGCTGAGCAGCGCTCTGCAGATGACCGAGATAAGGTTGCCGGCGATGAGTCAAAATTGCACGTTAATCCCGACCGACTACCGCACCATCGCTCTTTTCTGATGCTTATCTGTTGAGGCATTGCCCCGCGGAAACCTTTTGTGGCACATTGTGATGTGGGAGAGTCGTTATCGCTTCTCGCATTTATGGCTTCTTCCGTTCGAAGACATTGTTGATTAGTTGTCGGCGGTCAATGCCGAGAACGGTGTCAAAAAAGTTTGCTGTGTGAAAGCTGACCGCAAAACTTCATGCTGCCTCCTATTTCTTCTTGTTTTTTTACCCTCTCACTTCCGTTAAGCCGGTTAAAAAACGTCTGAAGTCTGCGTGCGAAGTTCACCGCGGTGTATCTTTGTCGCAAGTAAACAGCAGCAGGGCACACGCGAGCAAGCGCCTATCTCCTGCTTTAGAATGCCTGTTTTAACACTTTTTTCGCGTCCTACCCGCCATATTTTTACCGCGACTGTGTCGGAAGTGTTCGAAAAATGTTGGCTGTATGTAGACTCAGTTTCAAAGGGTAGCATAAGAAAACCATAAGTGCACCAAAATATGGTCGTTATAACCGATAGGGATTGTTATAAGTGGGTTGGACTTAATAGTTTCCATTAAAAATGTGTTGATATATGTAGGCTTTGTTTTATTTCGGTCTTTTTTCTTTCTGCATTTTTTTTCTTCTGAAGGCTTATCCGAACACTTTTCCTGAAACCTGAAAAACAAGGCACAGGGTCTCTCGCAAACGATTATGTTCCTCATAACGGCCACCTTCACTTCTTTCACTATTAAACATCCCCCTAAACATTATAAATTTAGAGATAACTGGTAAAATAGGTAATTGCCAATAAACATACTGGCCATTAGAACAAACTTTGATGTGGGCATCTGCCATGAATAATGGTCAATAAAAATAACCACTTTCTTCTTTCTTCCACATCATTTTTTACAATAACAGCTGTTGTAAGCTCACTCCCCTAATTATTATGATATATATTGTCACCGGATCGTGATGTCGACAAAAGCAGAGACGACTTGTCCAAAATGAAACTGTTTATTTGGGCCAACTTGTGGCCGGTAAATGAAAAGTTAGGTTGCAGTGATACACACTGACACTAATAGCAGCGAACAGAGAGTCGGACGTCGATCAACTGACATGCGGTGGAGCGCGTCTCCATTTATACATGTGCCGTCAAATATTCCAGCCTTATCACTGGTCTTCATGAAAGCTCTGAAATAATCTCGAGTGTTCACGTCTTGCGGGCAATCTTAACAGAACGATGTACTATAATTGCGAATCTTCTCAAACAATGAGGCACAGTTTGCACTGAGCATTCCTGACAAGTTTTGTAGGCGAAACTGAATGAAATAAAAAGAAAAATAGAAAATGTGCGTGGCAAAATACTGGTTGCATGAATTCCAAGGTGTTTCGCAAGATGATTACAAAAGAATCTGTGGGACTTTGTTACACTTGAAACTTTATCGCTAAAAGAACAGCAACTGAAGATTCAACTATTCAGTCACTCCACTGGTGCTAAAATCCATGGCCTACAAAAATACCTCAACTGAAGAACAAGATCCCCCCACCCACTGCAATGATTGACCGATGTCTCCTTCGCTTTTATAAGGTGGCATTGGTGCCGCCTTGGGGTTTGAGTGTTTTCTGAGTTGTGTTTGCAGAATACTGCTAACGTGCAGTTATAAACGTTAGCTCCTACCAATACTACAAGAAGCAGTGCAAGGTTTAAGGCCCATAATAAATGCACAAGCCTCGTTTTGTGCTACAGCTTATGTGATGGAAGAACACCAGAGTTCTTCAGTTACACCTGTTGCTAAACTTCGTTCCAAAATATGGACATGCCCATGGACAAATTTGTGATGGAAAGTAAACCAATGTTATACCTGGGAGTGACAGCCGAACACACCACTTGGCACCAATTGCGACAATTAATTGCGACAATTACACCAATTGGCACAAGCACTTTCAAGAAAGGTCGAAGAGCTCTGTGGACACAATATCATCTGAACAATGTAGCCCACCAATGTAAACACACTGCTTGTTTCATCAATGCCACACTACTCATGGGCTAGCATATCAACATATTTGTGCAGCACAAGACAACGCTGTGCAAATATGTTGACACCAGATGTTGTTGTGAGTGAAGTGCGTGAGTGAAGAGATTTTCAAATTTGGCACGGCAAGATGGGCTACTGACACGGTGTGCAAGATGGGCTATTGCGCGAGTGTAGCGAATGCTGGCAATTGAAAAAGAAGAAAAACTAAAAAAATTGCACACAAAGATCCAGAGTCAGGACAAGAAAAAGGAAGAGAAAGAATCGTGCAGGTGGTTGGAAAAACGTGGCTAGCGTGCGAGCTTGTCGGGTGCGAGTACCTGGGCGTCAAAGCGTCCACCTAGCCGGCGACTGCTTTTATGGGGTCCTGGTGACCATTCAACCACCGCGGCTAGTGGCAATTCCCCGGCACGGCCTGGTTCTAGTGTTCAAGCAGAAGACAGCGCCGCAGATGACATCGTCTACCGGGAGGGGGAGTGAGTCGTCGGGCTACAGGCCCGAGCTTGTGCACTCCCACCACGGCGGCTTCCGCACTGGACTATTGAAGGGCATGAACCGCCGGTGAACCGCATCTGTCTCCATACGCATCCAGACTCCAGCACAAGAACTTCAACACGAAGGACCATTTAAACTAGTAGAGATTTCCCCTCGTTAACGAGAACTGACAGTGCTTGTTAGTTTACCTTTTCTTGATCGTAGCATTCCCGTTTTTGCATTTTTTTTGTGTTCGTGCAAATGTATATTTTTTTGCCATGCAAATCAAACGCTCACCTCCTTCTCTTCCTAAGAACAACATTTCACAGCATGATTTTGGTTGACGTGGCATCTAGATTTTCATACATAAGGCCTATCGAGAGTTTTGACACTCATACAACTGAAGAACTCTGTATGAACATGTCTCTCACTGAGCTATCAGAGATTCTCATTGCTGAAACATTTGGTGTGGTCACTGTATTTTGCCAGTGCTGGCCTACAGGTCAAAATACGAAGGCTAATACAGAAAGCTAGAAAGAAAAACTAAGGAATGTCAAAAAAAAATTGAGGAGGAGGATAACAGCCGTAAGTTTTGCAGATGGCATTACAGATTCATGCAGGTATCCCTTGTGCTCTGGTCATGACATAGAGCATGAAACTAGTGTTTTTTTACAGTAACAGATGGGGTCACAAGAAAAGTGAGTCCAGCTGAGAGCGTCAGAAATGAAATCGGGAAATATGTGAACCAAGAGTGTGTTTAAGCAGAATGAAACGAGACTTCTAGGCAAAGTGGTCGATCACTCACTCTGCCTTGAGCTGTTCGATTTCCTCATCCAAGAGGCGACTCCTGTTGCGGAGACCTGCCAGCTTCTTCTGCAAGTCCTCAACACTTTCGCTGCTCACAGGTGTAGCCTTCATCTGGAATGAAAACCCACATGCTTAATACACCTGGTCAATTATTTTGGTAAACGAGGTACTCGTAATGCCCGATTGGTGAAACAAGATGTAAAATGAGCTAACGTTGGGTCCAAAGGGGACACTCAGTGCCAACTTCGCAACATGCCCACACTTCTCTGTGGTTCGAAGTGAATTGTGATTTCGTCAAATAACTTGTGATCGAATACCTACAAAACTAATATAATATATTTCTGGAGTTGAACGCCCCAAAATCAGGATATAATTATGAAACACACTATAGTAGAGGGATCCAGAAATGTCAATCTGGTGTTTTTTAACGTGCACTGACATTGTACAGTACACGGGTCTCTATCATTCGACCTCTATCAAAATGTGACTGCCACGGCCGAGATCGAACCCATGACCTATGGATCCAGCAGCCGAACACCTCAGCCACTGATCCACAGTGGCGGACATGGATTGGAAATGTACATTTCACATATTATAAAAAAAATTTAGCATATTTGTCAAAACCCAACTAACCTATGCAAGACTTTTTAAAACTGGAACAAAGAATGTGTGAATGCCATTTGTTCGGTTCAAAGTGAAGAAAAAAAATTCCGAGTGATTGCAGGATTTGAATTTCAGTAGGATGCTATTGAGAACAGGTAAAATGAATCACATTTTAAAATGCACTAACTTAGACCATATAAGCCCCTATAAGAAGCTTGAAGACTTAAAAAATAATTAATCAATGCGAGGGTAATAAGTTCCTTAAACCTTGAAGCGGGGCTTCGTGGCAGTGCAAACTTTTTCTCAAAAGGTGTTTTCTCGGCATAGCACTCCTAAACTCTAGCAAAACTCTCTTTACAGGGCATTATTTGATCCCACCCCCCCCCTAGTTTCGTCAAAAATTAGCATGCCCATAGCCACCGAGCACTTGAAGTTTTCTCTTCCACTATCACGGTGATAAGTTTTACCTACGAGTTAGGTAAGCTGATGACTGTTGTGCAACTGCAGTGCTCGATATATGGTGCAAAGAGCCAGATGCAGTTTGGTTAGTATAGATGCAATATAGTATGAAAATATTTGAAAGAGCAGTGTACACGTTAAGCACTCCTCTCTCCTCCAGTTCATTTCTGTACTTATCCCCTCAACACTACGGGCCCTGATTGTCAGGTGATTGACTATGAAAGATGTCCAGATAAGCCTAGTGGCATAATAAGTCTTCAATGAAAAAAATATGTGCATCAGACATTTACAATAGGAAAATGGAAGGTGCAAAATACTGGCATTCCTAGACCTTATACAAAGAAATGACACCCCGTATCACAATATTTAGTTTGAACTTCCATTCTTTTGACCTCTATAATAAGCTTGCTTGATGCTGGGTCATAGATCATGCCAGTGTCAATAACTTGCTTTAATGAATAGTAATAATAATAATAATAATAATAATAATAATAATAATAATAATAATTGCAAGAGTTTAACATCACAATACCACAATAGGATTATGAGGGATGGCATATTGTAGGGCTTCAGAAATTTCAAACCCCTGGGGTTCTTTGGCATGCATCTAAATCTGAGTACACAGGCCTCCCGCATCTTTGCCTGCATCAAAATGGAGCTGCTGCAACCGATATTCGATCCCGTGACCATCGACTCAGCAGTTGAGCACCATAACCAAGGCCGTCACCGACTTTCGAGTGAAATGCGCCAAAGGACGAGCAAAATGTCACCATTTTTCTTCAAATTTCGCTAAAAAAGTCGCCACTCTAGGTATGTATGGCATGTCTAGTAATAAAAATTCCTAATTACGTACAGTCTCATGGACTATGGTACCATCCATAAAACCCCAATTATATTGACGTTTTTCAAAGACTGTAATGTTACTTGTGTCAACATTGTGGCCCTGAAAAAGGGCATGCATGCACTAGCGGCGTCCCTCAATGCTAGCGCCTCATAACAAAAGCTTGTGATGGCTTCCGTTGCAGCAAATACTGGAAGAAGCAATCGCTACAACAAAAGATAGATGGCATGCGTAGCCTTCATGCAGATTTATAGACTTTCATTACTCTGAAATCAAGTATCTGATAATTGAATAACCTAATTACAAAACAACGGAAACCAATTTGGAAGTATTGCATAACTGTCGCAATGCCCGCGCAATGCTTTATGGGTGGTCATGCTTACGCTGTACATTCACTTCACTGCAATTTCTGAAGGCTGCTCAAATAAGCCTGACTTGTTGGCCCACAGGAAAAGTATCTTAAAAACAAATTTAAGCTCAATATACGAAATTAGGGGGTTCTACAGCAGGCAAGAAGTCGACAAGCTATTCAAGACAGTTAAAGCTGTGGTTGGAACACACAGCCTTAGCGTCTCCTAGCCACTTGAGAAGCGAAACTTCGAAGAAGCTTAAAGCTCTAAAAGCACCTAAAAAACGTAGCATGACACCTCCCCGTTGCGGCACGTGAAGCATCCCACTGACCTAGATTTTTCTGGGAAATTTCTGGCGAAGACACCAGTGCACCAGTACCTCCCTAAGTGAATTAGATGATACACACAAGAAAAAAGACAGGCATAGTAAATTGTGCGTTATGTGTGCCTTGTACCAGGGCCAAGTCTAAAACTATAAAAAAATAGAAACAGTTTTGTCGCCCATTTGTTTTAAGGACACTGAGTATTGAATGCATAACTCAGTCGACACCTAAGGCACAAATCGCCAAAAACTTGCCATGTTGCCATTCATAATTTTAGGTGGCCACGGGCCTCTTAAATTTGCCAATTTGGCCAAAAGTAGCCACCAGTGGCAACCGAGACCATAACCATTGGACCATAGTGGCGGGTGTAAGTGATAAGAGCTGAAGCACAACGAACATCCTCAATAAGATATAGCCCTTTAATTCAGAATGCCTAAAATGCAAGACAGGCAGCTAAATACGTGTAGCACTCCAGTTCCTTAAGTACTTGAGTAAAAGTGCATATCAAATCTCTATTCTGGTGAGGCTGTGTGGCTTGCAATTGTGACACGCACTTCATTGATTGAATCCAGATATGCGTGCAACATGACTAGAGTTCAGGTTACATTAAGCGTATGAAAATCGCTTGTTGAGCTTCCAAATTTCTCCCAGTAACTGTACACTCCGTAGCTGTGGGCAGTACTCGCACAGTAAAAAAGTGCTTCACAAGTTTCTCCTTGTCTTAAACAATAATGCACAGTTGCGCGCCACTTACCGGTGAGCTGAATGGCCGATTGGCGCTAGAAAGACTGGGACGAGACCGCCTGCAACAAGCAGTGTATTCTCTCAGCAACAACAACAAAAAAGTAGCACAAAGAAAAAAAAAACAGATGTGATGCATACTCCGTCATTTAAAGTTGTGTCATCACTAACACATAAAAGGGCAAAATTTCGCCTTGCAAAGTGCAGATTTTTATATGAGGGCCTTAACAACTGGCAGAACTGATGCAGGGAGGGAAGCTACCCCTTTGAAATTTTAACCTGCCCCCATCAAGAAGCTATCTTATCGTAGATAAGATGATTCTCCTGCCCCATTGTACGGGAATAATCTCTATGCCCTTTTCAAACCCATACTCAACCTTAACCCTTTAACAACCGTTGATAATTATAGCCGTGATAAAATTTCGTGCCAACACGACCAATGACGACTATAGTGTCATAATGCCTACGTGTGTGATTCCTGACACTTTATAGACAAATGAGTTCACGCTTTACCATCTGTGTCTTGCCTTTCATTATATTTCTGCCTCTGAGTGCATATGTGTGCTCACGAAAAAGGAATGAAAGCACCCCATAAAAGAACTTATCTTGAAGACTCCTCATCAGACTACAGCTCCGTAGTTCTATACGTAAACGAAAGGCGACGTCATCTCATCTGAGAAATATGATAACAATCGCGTCATGCAGTAAAGTCTTCATCAGGCTAATCTTTTCCTTTACACAATTCAGGAACTAAAGGAACCTAGCTGATTTGAAATAATGGTGCCATTTGATTCAAAGAAAAAGCTCTACAAGCTGACCAAAAATTTTAAAAAAGACACAAGCCAAAAAATTTTGTACAATTTTCTTTTTTTCATGGCTGTGAAAGGGTTAAAGAGGCCACTTAGCCCAGTCACTACTGAGTCAATGAAATGCAACTTCACCACTGAAGCATCTATACCAGGTGTTTCAATAAATGTCTGAAAATCTGAGAAAATAAGGATAGTAGAAACCTTGCTCCCTGCCATCACAATTTACTTTTCAGCAGTAATAAAATTAATTTAACTTTTTAATTAGTGGAGACGGGCAGTCGGGTCAAATGTTAGAATTCACCTCATTTTTCTGTGCTGCCTTCAGCCGTTTCAGCAGCGCTTTGCTAAAAGCAAAATCTGCGCAATGATGAAACATTACACGACATCTTCACTAGGCAAAGGTCGCATGCCCTGAAGCTTCATGAAAGATAGGGATTGAAGGCCTCGCCATACAAAGCCCATTACTGCCTTGAGATTTCCAAAAGGCACTGTTGGCAGTTGGTAATTTCAATAGAGTGATGAAATTTGATATTTTTGCCGGCAAAACAAAAGCCAGAACGTGAAACAGCACAAGTGCCACACTCTTACGAGACATCCTGAATGAGTAACAATTGTTATATCAGCCATCGATCAACTTTGCTTTCTGAGTGCGCGGGTTGCAATTGTTATTACAGCCCGTACAGTGCACATATGTCAATGAGCGAATGATTACCACCACTGCAATGGTTGTCATAAACACTGGCATCATTTCGGTCGTCTGCTATTTGCACTCATCAGCATTTCTGCTTTCGTTTTACGAGTAATCTCTGTCCACAATGATTACCAAAGGCCTCTTTTTCGAATTTTCAAAGAGGCAATGGGTTCTTGATATGAAAGAGTTCAATCCTCCTATTGAACTCGATTGTGTGTCTCCACCAACTAGAAAAGTTACTTCAATGTTCTCAATCACTGCCCTTAATTTATGTCTTCTTAAAGGTGCCTTGCAACAGTTATAATAGAATAGTTTCACCATTAGTGCATGATGCTTCACGAGACACATGCTGTAAAAATCTTTAAAATTTGTCAAGAACGAGTGGACTTACAGGAACTTGTGGCATGCAGCGAGTGCGCTGAGAGCTACACAGGGAGGATGATGACAATTGAGCAAGAAGTATATATTAATATCTGAGGTTGAAACCACAATATGATTATGAGAGACGCCGTAGAGAAGAGCTCCGGAAATTTCGACCGCCTGAGTTCTTTAACGTGCACCTAAATCTAAGCACCCTGGCGTCAAACAATTTCGTCTCCATCAGAGGGACAAGAAGGTGCATCCCTTCTTCAGTGCGCATCATCAACTTGAGTAGTTTTTTTGCCATTTTTTTCTGCAAACACATGGCAGACGTAGCTTCCTTTCAAGTGTGATCATGAGTGCACGCGCGAACACATGGTGGCATCTTGCACTGGTCCCGGTAGCTCGCATGTTCTCGGGAGCCTTGACTAGTACTAATCGGCAGCGTTTTCTGACCATACTGAAAAAGTGTTGCAAGGCTCCTTTAAAGGAACACTAAAGTGGAACAATGAATCTACTTACATAAATTTAATTGTATTCTGAAAACACTGACGTCACAAATTTCACCGTCATAGGCTTTTCACTAGCGAACAAAATCAAGGGCGTTTCATTTTCAAATTTCACGCCAAAATCTCTGCGCATGAGGTAACAGATAGCAAAGAGTATTTTTTGGATTCTGGCGACATTCGCTCATATTCACTGAAACTTGGAATGTTAAATCTCTGGTCCTCTAAGAAGGCAATGTATTCAACTTTCATTCAATGGCTAAGGAGTAGCCGGCACCATGCTTGTGTGCTATCATCTCCTTAAATATTATATCAATAAAAAGCCAATGTTCAACTTTACTGATAAGGAACTAAGCAGGCTTCAGTAGCTGCCATCAAAATCCATGACATCACAGAAATTGGTACAGAAATTTCAAGATGGTGTGGCCAGCTACATTTTCTTCTGCCCCCTGTTCACTTACCAAGCATCTTCTCATGATAAGAGTGGAGATTTTGGTATTGTGAAAGAAAGATTTGCTGATTGGTGAAAAATTTCCCCCTCATGCTGGTTACATAATGCAAAAATTTCCTCATAGCTTCCATATCTACTTTTTCGCTACAGAAAAAGTACGTACGGAAACTGTGGGGGAATATTTAATTTCTCTTAGTTTTGGGCACTTTTTGGACACATTTCTTGAGACACCCTGTACAACTACAGATTGTTATTGAATCTCAAATTACAGAGATTATGGTTTATCACTGAGATTACTGGTTATTTATGGTGTTATTTCTTACACATTTCTTAATAATGAAAAAAATGGCAGTCACTAAACACGTAAACTGTTGAGCAGAATCATTAAAAAAAAACATGCGTGAAAGCTGTCATGTACAGAGTTAAAAATTAAGCCTGCCAAGCTTTCACACAGTTCAGATTATTTTTCTCTAAAATCTGTTGAAGCAACAGCACTGTTGTAATAACCTGTTGTGTTCTGAATTTACTGCTACATATATGTCCCTTAGTAACAATTCGGTAATGAAGTCAGCATTAGCAAAAACAAGACAGCACTGCAACTTTTGCGAACAGGTGCGGCAAATTGTGAGTAGCTTCTACTAAAATTGTCAGTGCCACAATATACTGAACTTCATTATTGCACACATGTAACATCAATACCATTACACTGTTGAACAGCAGCACAGTCAAAATTTTTTTTCTGTGTGTTGTAGGGGGGTTCAACTACACTTTATTTGTTTGTACATGAGTTTCTACATACGAGTGTATATATACACATGCAAAATTTAAAAATTTCGGGAGGGGGGGGCTTCCTTGGCTATGCCAGTGGTGTTGGAATATGCTAATAATCAAGTACCTAGCAGTGCTCACGTCGATCATGACCTGCATGCACTGTTTAACAAAAGATGGACATGAAAGACAGGCGGGAAATTTTTAGAAATAGGGCCTCACAGCCTTGTTTACGCAATCACTTGCGTTTGTTGCCACGGAGCATGAGTCACACGCAAACCCTTTGGGCACACACCTAATTTAAAATAACTCCATATTTAAATATTTTTTAATGATAATGCTCAGGCGCCAAGAGTATCATACTAACTAACAGACGACTCGCGAAGTACTTGATGAAGATCACCGCCAGTAAAACATGTAGCAGCGCGAACTGAATCGCATACCTCGCCTGCATCTTGAGTCTGTTACGGGTCGGTGTCTCTGAAGCAGCCATGCTTTAGGGTGCAGCTTTCTTCGAAACTATCGCGGCTATTTTAAACCTCGGGCCTATTTGGTGGGACAAGAACTGCGCAATGAGGATGTCCAACAAGACACAGATTTAGAAGACCGTCGGGGTCGCCTTTGGAAGCTCTCGTCGGCTGATGGAGCAAGGTGGTGTCACGGCTGTTATACTACTCACACGAAAAGTTTCCTCCACGCACGGAACTACATGGCACACTTGGCACGGGCTCTTAAACACCACACTTAGCTTACGAACGTACCGCGTTTTATGTCTGCGACCAAAAACCTAAAAAAAAAAACCTGGTGCGCAGTGATGCCAACTTGAGACAAAGTTTTACGCCTAAATTGACCACCAAATACTTTTAATTTACGAAAAAAACTTAAAATTGTCATTGATTGTTATTTTAGTTAATATTAAACCGAACAAACTGTTAGTTAGGTATAAACATAGTAAAAACACTGTGACTCAATTTGTCTGAATCTTGGGTAAACACTTCTCTTTCTCCATAAAAATTTTCTTCCATGCATAATATAACAACCACTACAAAAAAAAAAGCAAGCAGTGAGCACAAGCTTGGCACGTACTCAATATTAAAGCGTTGGTCGCGCCACACGTTTTCCTGTCGGCAGTTTTCCCATGCCGCGTCGGCAAGTGTCAGTGGGGAGGCGTTCATCAGTCAGCTGCTCGTTATGTTCAGCATGCATTGTTCACAACCAAGCTTAGGCTAGCTCCTTTCTTAGGGTATCAATTAGTGCGAATCCACCAATTTGTTGCGCCGCTGGTGTTTCGCCCTTTCTCTAGTCGCAGGTCGTCTTGTCAGCTGAGTCCGCGTGCCATGTTATAGCCGCTGTTATCTATCGCAGAAACTGCAACGAAAAGAAAAAAAAAAAAAACTTTTCATCGTCGGGTTGGGTGAGGTTACCTCCCCAGCCACCATGATCCACAGCGTTTTCGTCATTAATGGCTCTGGGTGAGATGTGCTTGACAAGTTTGTGATTTTGCTTTTGCTCCATATCGTACATACAGCTCGCCTGTCCATGTCACTTTAGCGATCTGGTGACTCACTTGTTATGCACCTCGAAAATTGTGCGTTTTCTTAATGATCTCGCTCGTTTACAACTCTTTTCAAAGTTGGTTACTTTAGCTTAAGCCATCGTGATTTTAATATTATGCATGCCCTAGTCGGCAGTTCGGTCGCTCTGTAAAATCGGCTCACACCACTGATACCGTGTAGTATCGACACTGTCACTGACTGAACGCTAATGTCTAAACGTACTCGGTGAATCACGTTTACACCTTATTCACACTAAACAGTCGATTTAACGGTGTACTCTGCCTCGCAGTTCGTGCCGCGCTTTCGAGGAAACACCTGTAGTTATTAACGTCGACCACGTTGTTTAGCATTGAATGAGGTGTAATGCCCTCGGACGACCGAAGTATACATGCATCAATTGTTCACATCTGTGTTTTACAAGCTGATCGCGCGATCACTGCAAATGTTCATGACGCCCGTAGTATTATAACTACGGGCGTCATGAAGGCGTGCATGCCAAGCTTGTTCTAGTCATAGTCTGTAGTGAATTGCCTCAGTATAATGAATGAATGAAACCAGCATAACTGTTGTTGCTTTCGTCCATTCAACTTCAGATGAAATGCGCTAAAGTGTAAGTGCCGGATAAAAAGGATGTGGGCATCGACTTGCTACCCGGTTGTAGGCACAAATCATTATGAAGTGGCTTGAGATGCAAGTGACATTTTTTTACATTTTTGAAGTGCACAACATTCTAGTGTGGTGGAGGAAAGGGAAGCTGGTTGTCAAGCCCTGTGTTGTAGCAAATAGAGACACTTGAGAGATACAAGATTACAAGTGCCAAACAATTTATTAAATCAATTATATTAATTAAAGTACATTATTAAAGCAGCAAAAAACACATGCTGGAAAAGCATGTGTAAGGGCAAAACTGCTACATAAGGATGCTGATGTTTCGATGAAAATACAAAACTGAAACTAGAAAAATTCAACAAACAAGAAATCGTGTGTAAATTTTGTAGGCATTTTTGTGTTTTGTAGAATTTGTTAAGGTTGCACTAACTTGTCAGCAGTTATGCAGCACACAAGTGCTGATTGGCTGTGCTTTGCATTGAATGTATTCTTTTGTACAGTACTGGGATACTCAAATGCGACATACAGTTTTTTAGTACAATGACTGGTACTTGTGATTGCTCCATGCCATGTTGCGACGAATCTCCTCCCTAAAGTTGGCTCTGATATAAGCGTTAGAGTCGAAATTACACCAATACTACCCAAACTGAAAATGCTAGAAGTGAAAGTGTGTGCGCTACTTAGCCCTAAATTGTCCTGTTGCAATACATGCGTACTATACATTGCACGCCTTAGCTTTTTAATTGTCATGGGGAATCTTGCATGCTGCAGATCGCAGGTCATTATTCTCGTCGCTAACATTGACACCATTTCTGTTGCCAAACATGCTTTGGCCATACGGTTCTGTGTTGGTGCTCGCCAGGCTGTGCCAGTTGCCACAAACGACAAAGCTTCAACAATTTTCTTTCAGATGCAAGGTTTTTAGGGATGTTTGTTTTAACAAAGGAAAGAATGGGAATTTTAAGGGCTCGTTTCTCTTTGTTAGACACAATTATGAGAGCTAATAGACAATAATGCTAAAGAAAGTATAGGGGATGTTATTTGTAGTAATTGTGATAAAAATGTGAAGAAAGTGGACAAAGAGATCACATGCCACCAACAGGGGTTGAACTTGCAACCTTCGAATTACACGTATAACGCTCTATCAATGAGCTATGGCAGTGGTAATCCCCCTGTCCACTTCATTGGGTATATCTTTGCACTTGAAACTGGTAATGTTAGAGCCAATTGCAGCCATGGGGGGGTGTGCGTAGAACACTCTTTTTCTGCTTACTCACGTCGCGTAGCACGTGACGCGCTATGTCCTTGTGTGCCTTGATCCGCGAGGCTCACAGGTGGCTGCCGCGACATTTTGTTCCACACTCAGGCTTTTCGCTCAAGGTCATGTTCACACACACACACGCGCGCATGCAAAGGGTTGCAAGAGAATCGAGAGTTTTTATAAAACCTTCATTTCTGGGCAAGCTATAGTTCAGCAGTTGTCGGCAACATTATGGGCCAAGCCACGTTTAAAGCAAAGCTGAATTGTTTTGCGTTTAGCATAACAGTATACTGCAATGCTGTTGAAGAAACTTTCACACACAGGGATGCTTTATTTAAATCCACGATGTTTTACATAAACTTCATAGTTTCTATGCTGTGGTTAGTGAGAGGAAAAAAATGTAACTTGAAGAAGTGTCAATTTTCTATTTGTTCTGAAAGCCTGATTGGTTGCAGACTGTCCATGATTACTGATATTATGATTATGTATGGGTGTCGATAAACGAGGTAGTAGGCAACTGCTTGGCTGACAATTTGCTCCCGATACAGTGCCTGCATGCCCAGGCAGTCATTTTACTTTATGCTAGTGCGAGGGGGACAGCTGTAGTCGTACATGTATCACTGTGCCCTAGGGTGCGTAGACTCCACTGCAGTACAGAACTGAAGGAAAGCTTCAATATAACTATTGTGCTGCACCACAGGCAGTCCAATTTGCAAATTCTAATAGCTTTTGTAGTGCTTCCCCTCCCTCAACTTTCCGAAGGAAGTCTGGGGAAGAAAAAGATTGTTTGTGATCCATGCTTGCATTGCTGAAATATTGAATGTTTTTGAAAGCCATTTGCTTTATGGGTTTATTGGAGTGGTAGTGAAGGAGGAAACAAATTTGGAACGTACTTTCAGTTTCACCTTGAATTAAGTGGCAATATTCTTTTTGCCCAAAGGTGCTCACTGCATTGCCTGTTCTTCCTTTACTTACTGATAGGATGATGTACATGAAAACTGTTTGCCCATGTGTTGCACACGAAGCAGCAGAGGAAGTAGCTTCAATGTACTGGGATTTAAAAAAGTAACCTTGTGAAAAAATGAACAGATTGAATTAAGTGCTTATTTATGGAGGCATCAGTGCTTTCTTGCCACATTTTTTTATGCAACAGCATACTTTGAAATAGTGCTTAAAGAGAGAAGTGATGACAAGGGACAACAGCTATATTATACATTAAAACTTCATGATAACAAAGTCGCATTTGCCACAAAAATAATTCAGCCCCGCCGCGGTGCTCTAATGGCTAAGGTACTCGGCTGCTGACCCGCAGGTCATGGGATCGAATCCCGACTGCCGCGGCTGCATTTCCGATAGAGGCGGAAATGCCGTAGGCTCGTGTGCTCAGATTCGGGTGCACGGTAAAGTACCCCAGGCCGTCAAAATTACTAGAGCCCTCCACTACCGCATCTTTCATAATGATATGGTGGTTTTTGGACGTTAAACCCCACATATCAATCAATCACAAAATACTTCGTTATAGTTGTTATAAACAATTATTTGTACCACTGTATTTATGGTAAAGCTATTGGTCTCTTGTTTCGTTATATACGAATTGGTTATACAGAGATTTGCGTGTAGCTGAAGTTTGGTGCCTTTTAACGCAATAGCGTTAAAGAGCTCGTTTTGCAGAAATTGCGCGGCATTGGTGTCAGTATGAGCATCGTTAATTGTAAGTAAAAGAAAATCGTCCTGTGCCTTACTGGAAAATCTAGAAAGATGCAAATAAAATAAATCATAAATAATTTTGGGTCTGAGGAAGGATCGAACCTAAGTCGTCTGCGTGGCAAGCAGGTGTTCTATTGCAGAGCCACGCGTCTGCCTGAAAATGCAGTGAAAGTAACTTGCCTGCTTTACAAATACGTGTCCTGTATACATGCTTCCCTATGCAACATGTAATATTGCGGTAATAATGCTTGGTACAAGCGTACATTGCAGTACAAGCTGGGCAGACAAAAATAGTTTCAAGTTTAACTGTGATAAGACTGTTTGCCTACTCTATTCAAAACTACGTGGCATAAGGCCATCCCCCAACATTTTAATGAATGGACAAACCATAGCTACTAAAAGAGATCACAAATTTCTAGGTGTTGTGGTTGACGAAAAGCTCAGCTTTGTTACACATATCAAGCAGCTATGACTTAAATGCTTGAAAGCCTTAAACCTGCTCAAGAATCTCCCGGATTAGTCATGGGGCACAGACCGTGACTGTCTACTGATCCTTCTCAGAAATGTAGTGCTATCACATATCGATTATGGCTCGGTGGTTTAAGAGTCAGCGTCAAGATCTGCATTGAGGATGCTTGACCCAGTGCACCACCTTGGGCTTCAGCTGGGCAGCGGTGCTTTCCAAACCAGCCCAACAGCCAGCCTGTATGTTGAGACAGACCAATGGTCACGAGAACGAAGACGTCAGTTCACAAGTGTCACGTATGCCGCCAAGGTGCTTTCCCATGTAGACCACCCAGCTCGTGCGCTATTGCAGGATACATCAAACGCCCACCTATTTTTGAGGCGACCATCAGCTACGCCGTCGTATTGCCTCAGCGTGGCCTCACACTTTGAAAATCTGCACATACCGGTCTCCAATCTTCAGCTAAGCTCTCGCAAGGACACTGTGGTGTCGTGGGAAATGCGGGCTATCAATTGTAACTTGTCATTACTAGAGGTAGGAAAGCATGTCCTCCCAGTCGCAATCGATCAACACTTCATGTACTTGCAGGCCAAATACAGGTGTGCTGAGTATTGTACTGATGTCTCCAAGTTGTCCGCACACGCATGTGCGGCACATGGTCCCATGTTCTCTGAATCTAGAACCATGAACAGACATATCAGCATATTTACTCCAGAATGCTATGGCATACTTTAAGCTGTAAGGCACATTTTAAAGGAGAAAGAACCAGCCTTCATCATATACACAGATTCTCTCAGTGCAGTGACTGTGCTGTCCTCCACTAAGATACTCAAAAACCCAGTTACTTAAGTTATTAATGCTTTTCTAAAATGCATCATGCCAGCCTACAAATCTAAGCTCAAAATCACGCTATGCTGGATTCCGGGACACTGTAACATAGCTGGCAAAATAGCAGACAGACTTGCGAAGTCAGCTGCACTCCGCCCATCAGTTGACGTAGACACCATCCCGTATGAGGACCTGAGACCACTTATCAGAACCCGAATGCGTAGACAATGGCAAGAGGAATGGAACACAGCAAATGCAAACAAACTGCACTTAGTAAAGCCAAGAATAGGAAGATATGTGACTGAAAAACAACAGGCACCAAGAGGTTGCACTATACAGACTCAGGATCGTTCATACTCGTGCAATACACTCGCACCTTTTAAACAACTCTCCAGCACCGCATTGTGCAAAATGTGATGATGCGCTGTCTGTCATTCATGCTCTAATTATCTGTCTGTACCTTGAACCAGAAAGACTGCGTCACTTCACAAAGCTCTACAAATGCCACATTCCGTCTCACCCACAATTTTTTTCTTGGTGACGATCCCATGTTTCCCCAAAAAGTGGTTTTAAAGTTCTTAGCTAGTGTAGGCTTCCTACATAACAAATTCTCACTAATCTCAACCTCCTCTCAATCCTGAGGGAACCGCTGAGACCTTTTTATCAAATGTCATGCAGCACGCACTACTTGTCCTAACAAGGACTGTTGCCGACACTGCATGACTTTGTAAAACCTATAGGCTTAGCCCGTTTTAACTCATCACACATAGTCACTACACTTAAGTTTAAGCCCTATGCACTCTTCTTTTATTTTTGCTACCTCGAGTAGGCTTTTTATAATCAAATCGACCAAAAACCGTGTGTTTGGCGCTCTTTGGCCTGAGTTGCCCATGCGCCACTAAAATCGACCATCATCATCATCACATTGCAATCGTCACAACACATCATCATTATGAATTCGTGGTTTAAAGTGGGCCACCCACTACAAAAGACGCACACGTTACTGCACGTATTCCTTTAATACCACGTTGTGGGTGCATAGCAAGTTCGAAAGAATTTCACGTGCATAATGGCTCGTGGTTTAAAACCTGCTATCCATTGCACATAATGCAGCCATATATGAAAGCTTCACTGGCACAAGTCACTTGAAACTTTATCGATTACATTGTAGTAATCCACAATTTAAACTTCTTGAGTAACATCACCCAATAAAAAATTATGGTATCCTTAAGCTTCGCCTTTAAGAGTTGAATGCAATAGCAATATCCTGTCCCTAGTGCATACCGAGTTCAAAATAGCTTGTGGGAGCAAAGCTTTCACGTATGGCTGCATTATGTGTAATGGATAGCACGCTTTAAACCTAGAGTAATTGTGCTCGTAAAATCTTTTCAGACTTGCTATGCACCCACTACGTAGCCTAAAAGAAGAACGTGCAGGTAACTTGCGTGCTTTTTTGTTGTGGGTGGCCCACTTTAAATCGTGAATTCATAATAATTGTGTATTGTGACAGCCGATCGCAATGTACACTTGTACTAAGCATTATTATTGCTATATTGATTTGATTGATATGTAGTGTTTAACGTCCCAAAACCACCATATGATTATGAGAGACGCCGTAGTGGAGGGCTCCGGAAATTTTGACCACCTGGGGTTCTTTAACGTGCACCCAAATCTGAGCACACGGGCCTACAACATTGCCGCCTCCATCGGAAATGCAGCCGCCGCAGCCGGGATTTGATCCTGCGACCTGCGGGTCAGCAGCCGAGTACCTTAGCCACTAGACCACCGCGGCGGGGCTATTATTGCTATATTACATGTTGCATTGGGAAGCAAGTATACAGGACACGTGTTTGTAAAGCACGCAAGTTACTTTCACTGCATTTTCAGGCAGACGCGTTGCTCTGCGATAGAACACTTGCTTGCCACTCGGACGACCCAGGTTTGATCCTTCCTCAGACCCAGAATGTTTTATGATTTTTTTTATTTACATATTTCTCAATTTTTCCGTCATGCACAAGATGATTTTTTGCTCACAACGAGTGACACCGACACCGAAATTTCTGCAAAATGAGCTTTTTAGTGCTATAGCGTTAAAAGTATGCACCGAGTGGTTGATGTATGCACTAGGGACAAAATATCGCTATCGCGTTCTACTCTTAAAGGCAAAGCTTAAGGGTCCTTCGATTTTTTTCCGTTAGTCATCAAGTCCAGGTAACATTGTACTTGCCAAGGTGAAGGATAGATGTGACAGAACTGGTTGAGGCTCTGCTTGATGAGTAGGGTCTCCACTGCGTAGGAATTATTGTTTATATAAATATACTGACAATCCCAAGGGTTAAGCAGTTGGACATGTATGTTAGGAGATACAATTACAGATACGAATTGAAACACGATTGCATATACAACTGTAAACAATTATAATGAATGAGCATACAGGAGCCTTTAACTTGTCCCGCCGCGATGGTATTTGATCCCGCGACCCGCAGGTCGCGGGATCAAATCCCGGCTGCGGCGGCTGCATTTCCGATGGAGGCGGAAATGTTGTAGGCCCGTGTGCTCAGATTTGGGCGCACGTTAAAGAACCCCAGGTGGTTGAAATATTCGAAGCCCTCCACTATGGTGTCTCTCATAATCATATGGTAGTTTTGGAACGTTAAACCCCACATATCAATTAATTAGGAGCCTTTAAATTTGTCGAAGCTAGCATGGAGCAAAGTTTACATTTAATTAAACAAGAATTCACAGGCAATGGATAGCGATTTTTAATGTATTTATACTAGAAGAACATTTTGTTGGTTAGTAGAGATTTGTGATGAAAATGCAAGTGTGAAAAACAAAAACGAGTGTTTTTACATGCCTTATGTCGATGTTTTGACCACTGACTTGTGTTATTTAGTCCAGTGAAGACCTGTCTACGTGTCAAAACAGTAGAATTTGTTTTTCAATTAGGTTACACCACTTAAGACTCCATCTTATCTTAAACTTTATCTTGTTTGCTTCATGCACTGGTAAAAACCCTGTGACCCTTGTTGGTTCAGTGGTTGACTTTGAATCCAGTTCGCTGCATAGCACAGCAGCCTGGGGCTCTTCAGATCACCCAATGACGTGATTTGACCGAAAACTGGTTACATGGACACTAAAAAGTCCATGAAGTACCCCAAGATAGCTAATATTTATATAGAGCCTGGAGTCACATCTGTACAGTGATCATAATTGTTATACTATATAACTGCAGTTCACCATTGTAAATAAAACAAATTATTTGCAGAATAAGCAGTGGTTTTCTTCCATGCTTAGAGTGGGAGTAGGTGGCACTGTGATTCTTAAGGGGATTTCTAGCCAAGTTGTTCTTGTTTTGGCACTCTTTGCCTCCACCTCTGCCTTGTGTTGTCTTCGTTCATGCTTTTAATTTGCTACCCTCCTCTTTTTATCACAGTTTTACTTTGTGTGCTGTTTGTTTACAATTGCAATAGCATTCTCTTGGTGGGCTCTATGTGAGTTAAATATTGTAGTGAGACTCTCACAATTTAGTGCACCATTTTTCCCGGTGACCGCAGGGATGTCTTTATGGAGAAGCACTGGAAGAGTGTCATCCATCGGTCGGTGTGTGACTACTTCTTCGATGTGCAAAAGAAGGCTGCCAGTCCAGAAGATATCCCACCAGTCATTTCTGCCCCACATCACTACCTCATCAACATCTACCGCAACAAGATGTTCTTTGTAGCTGTCACAATGTCCGAGGGTGAGAGTGCAGGAATAGTGACATTGTTTGGGGGAAAAAACTTACTTGAAGGTAATTTTTAAAAGAATATTCCAGGGACAGTCGTTGTGCAATCTTCAGATATTCCCGCAGTTATTTTTGCATTGCAATAATTGTTGTTACACAGCGAAAATGGGCTTCTTGTATTTTGTGTACCAGGTACAGCAGCTTTTTCTCCTCCCCTACTTATCTGGAAGGCTTGTGAAAGGGTCTTGGATGTTGCATTCTAATTGGGATAAAGTTTCTATTGACCAAAGACAAAATATTTTAAATTCTTTTGTTGGGTTTTCTTAAAAGGGTGCTGTGACACAAATAAAGCATGTGGTTCTTATCGCTTCTTGAACTGTGCAATGCACCAATGTTGTTGCACAAAGGGCAACGCAAACAATAAAGGTGTTATAACTTTATTTCAGTGAAGAAACCATACAGTTTTCGGAGTGTAGTGACGTACAGTGGCTTTTTTTGTGATCGGAAGTGATGCTTCATCACATGGGAGGGATGACATAGGCCGTGCATTTTAATTAATTCAACACAAGTGGCTGTGATATTCATACAGTCCTGATAGGCCCCAATACTGTGCACTAAAAACTATAAATGCACTCTTTTTACTTTCTCACATAGGAAAGAATTTCTGTTTTAAAAATGTGAAAACAATTGCAAAACGACTTAGGAGCGCTGCCCAACAACCACCACAAGGCGAGTTATCCGGTACGTCTCTGTAAGAGGAGTGCGGTGATTGGAACCGACCTTTCACGTCAGTGGGAGAGATAAATGTGAAAGAGAACGTTTCTTTTCCTCGTCTGCTGGGGTTTTGAGGTTTGAAGGTTACTAATTTAGAGTGTACCGATTTTGATAATTCTTTTTGCATTCACCTTAGTATTCGGCACTACACGAACTCCAGCGCTGCAGAATATGGACGAAAAAGTGTCACAGGGCCCCATTAAAGGAGTGGTGACAAGAAATTTGTAAACCTGCTTTTTCTCCTCCAAATCAGTGGCTACTGACTCATTATCATGGCAACAAAACTCATTGGACTCTGTGTGAAATGAATCTTTAATTATATGCTTGTATGTTACAACCGGAGGCAGTTCCGATTTCAAAGAGTATTTGTTTGTGAACAGATACTCTCAGGTGACTGCAAATACCAGTGACGTCACTGGTTGCCCTCTGCCATGTTGTCAGTGCTGCTGTTTTATCTGTTGTGTTAAGCTGCTGTGAGTGCTTGTTTGCTTAATCGCCAAAACTACAATGCTTATCTAGTGCTGTGGTTGACGAAGAAGCTGGGAAGAGTCGAAAAATCAGTTAGGATAGCTCGATTCACTTCACAAGGGTGAAAGTACTGCGCCAATTGGGCTATTCTACGCCAGTCTGACCTGCTGCGCCAGGCTGTGCATTAATGGCAATTTCCGCAAAATTGTCGATTGGAAGTGTAAACCGTCCAATCTAGCCGAATATTGTTGCCGACCGAGCAACACTGAGTATTGGCTACGGTACGCAAAGCGTGCAGTTTCCTAAAATTAACGGAAGGGACTCTGGTGCTGCGATCGTTCAGAAACCATGGGAATTATGGGTATGACATGGATTTACGTAGTCTTCGTGCTTGCGAGCGGCGAACGCACTTCTGGCTTCCTTTTTTTTTTGCTGTGTTTTAATTTTGTTTCCAATGAAAAAATAAACCATTTCAAACTTCGTGAGCTGATTTCAAATACTGATTTTAAAAGGTGAAGATGATGAAGCGTAACTGTCGAACATTTGCCGATTGTTGTTTCGTTACAAACCAGCTTCAAGACACGCGAAGTCAGAAGGAACGTAAAGTATGAAGACTAGACAAATGCATCTACTACCCATAATTTCCATGCTCTCTGAAGCGCCATGCGTTGCAGCTCTCATAGACAATAGCACCTGAGTTTCCTCTTGTATATATTTAAAACACTATAGAAGGGGAGGACACGAAGGACGCAAACACATCCATATACAGTGTAGTTCTATCATGTATTTCGGTTAATTCATCGTGCTCACTAGTGCTTGTCTCATTGCTCTTATCACCATGGTTTTCCCGCAATGGCACCAACATGAGTAACTGAGTTATTTGGTAATATTGTGAAACCTCGATAATTTTTACGTGCCAGGAATTCGGCATGATCATGCACTAAACGGTAGTGCGCGTGGAAGTACAAATATGCATCTCTTTATATTTACCATCACCACCAATAAACAAATACAGTACCACAGCAGGTGCTGCCCAAAGTACCTACCATAAAGTCCTTTCTTCTTTTTCTTGGGGGGGGGGGGGAGGGGGGCAGGGAAAAATAAGGAATAAGGAGCGTCATGCAGAGACAACTGCGAGTGTTTACAAGGGTGAAAACCGGCTACGATACACGCGGAGTGGTACATTAGCAGCATTGCACCCGATGTGTGAAATGGAGTACGGCGGTCATGAAAGCGAGATAAACATAGCTTATCTCTTGTTTTCTTGGCAATTTCATTGTCAACTGTGGTTAATGATCGCAACCCACACACATCTTTGTGCATGATAAGTCTGGTAAACTAATTTGTTCTGAATGTTTAGTGAAAGCCATTAAAATTTTCATCACGAGGAATAATTTTCATTGATGGTGATGTTTGGCCCCTGACAGCTGCTCTTAAAACTAACTCACGTGTCTTCAAAACAGACCTTTTGGTGCTCCGAACCTGCTTCAAAACTACCCTTTTACTGCACCAAAGCTGCTCCAAAACAGCATTATTCCTGTTCCCTGAGCTACTCCAAAACACTGAAGTCCACCTCCACCCCTGACTTCACGAATCTTGCTGGTGCCTGCAATTTCGTTGTGGTAGTCCAACTGAGGTGACTTTTTTCGTGAGGCTGCAGCATTAGGCATACCAGAACGCTTTTGCTGTGATCATTTTGCAAGTTGAGAAGGGAAGAAGGAAGCTGTGAAATCACCACACTTGTGCCCTGTAGTAGTGCATATATGTAACATGTAAGTGGTGCAATGTACGCTTCACTGTCTCGTATTAAGATTGGTCAGCACCAAATTCTAAAGGCATATCAATCCAGTGTTTTGTACGTCGAAGCACCAAAGCAGGTATATATCTGTCGGCTATTCAGTATTATGTCGGTAGTAGAGAGCTGTAGTTTGTAGATACATTTGCAGGTACTCATTTACCGGAGCCATTGACAGCCCCAGCAGCAGCAGAGCTACTAGCGACATCTAGTGGCATTTTGTCCAACTACAGTTTGTTTAATCCTTTTTTAATCTTGGTCATATTGCTGTTCTTGCTGAAAAAAAAAAAATAGAGAGCGTTCTATCAGTTCATAATTATCTCACTTCCAACGCATTACACAGTCAGTACCTGTGTAAATCATCTCATTGTTACGTTTGTGGATCATTAGTTATGTTCTGCACCATCAGATGTTGCTACCAGCATTGTCTATTTTGTGCATGTCTCTGGTAATCTAGTCAAGAGTCGTGATATATGTTAATTACAAGGGTTTGCCGCATGATGACCTCATTTCTTCTTGCTCTGATTTCTTATTTGGCTCTTTTGCAAACTTCAAAACTCAAAATACTTTTCAGGCTGTATTTGTTGCTTATACTGAACAGATGGCACCTCTATGTTCTTTTCAGTGTGATGCAACAGTCAATTTGTGTTTGAAATTTTGTGTCAGACTACTTCAACAGAGAAAGCACCTGAGGAGTGGAGCCACCTTACAGTTCTCTTTATGTTTTTTTTTTTTCATTGTTCTTTGGGTGTGAACATTCATCTGTGAGAATAGTAGAGACTCTTTGCAAAACTCGTTAAAAGAAACTTGAAGAGAATCTCGACGTTATTCTGATCCCTGTTTTCTCTCATCTCCTTGCAGTGCCACCGCTGTTTGTGATTGAGTTCTTGCATCGTGTGGTGGACACATTCGTGGACTATTTCAGCGATTGCACGGAGTTCCTTATTAAGGAGCATTATGTTGTTGTTTACGAGGTACACCTGATTGTCTTTCATTTTTATTTGTCTACTCATGTTTTGGTCAGGGAGGACAGCAGCACTGCATGTCATCTTTTGGCTTCACAGTCTGTAACCAATTATCATTGCCTCATGGTTGGTTTACACCAAAAATTCTAAGGCTTGGTTTCACAGAAGGCTTTTCAGTGTTTGAAAACTGTTAAAATGAATGCGACCCGGTCCCATCTATCTCCGTTTTACTCACAGAATTTATTGATTGAGAAAAGAGGCTATCATTCCATTTTAGATTGAACATTTCATCTATGCTATGGTAGTCTCCGAGCTGTGATGGACCCTTGAGGGGACTGTGCCTAAAGAAGCTCTGACATCAAATTTAATCATGTTAAAATTATTGCATCCACGAGGACCTATCCACCCCCTAGTAGCAATTCGCAACCCAAAACGAAACTGAGAGATGAATACTATCAGTTTTATTCATTTATATCACTGGTATCTAGCACAATTCAAAACTGCCAGTGAGCAGGCCATTTTTATTGCTGGGAGCACTTTCTCGCGGTGACCTCCAAATTGCGCCACAGCTTGCCACTTCTCCACAGAAAAGAGTGACGTGAGGCTCGGCTGCTCTGCTAACATTTCATCTGCTAGGTGCACACATTCAGTCACGCCTTGTCACCTGCATTGTCGTCTTCACTGCAAAAAGTGTCGAATAGGGTTGAATACGGCTGCCTGGAGCTTGGAATCGCCGTGATTTGCATCAGCGCGAACCATTTTTGCTTCAATTGACCCTTTGCAGAACAACCATTCCAAAATGGACACTGTTCCAAGCAGCAGCTCGTGTGTCTCACTTACAGTCGAACTCTGCTACAACGAACGCCCCTTCAACTAAATTTCCGCTACAACGAAAAATTCACGATTCTCCGTCAGCAGTCCATAGAAGTCAATGCATAAATATTGTCGCCAGAACAAACACTTTTTCATCGATCGTCCTGCTTCAACGAAATTTTACGATGCAATTCTAGGCTCAGATACATATTTTTATGCAGTGAAACCCATTTTTAACATTTCAATGGATTTTCAGAGCCTGAAAATGCGTCAACGAAGTCTAAAATATGCGTTAACACCACCAGAAACTGTCCCTATTGGCCGCGAGATCGAGCAGAGTTTCCGCCTGGCGGCAACTGGCCGAAACCGTGAAGTGTGGATTGCTCTTTGTGTCGTCTGCTAACCACGTCATGTTTCTATGTGCGCGTACGTCATGCACGTTCTCAAAGTGTGGTTTGTCCGGTCATGTCAGCGCTAGTGCAACTGTTGCTACGCATGCCTTAAACGGCGTACGAAACCATTTGGTTTTGCTTGGCTGCGAATGCATTGTAAGAAGATCGCCAAGTGCAACTTTCCAGAGTGCTGGTTATTGTCGTCGTAATCTCCATTCACCAGATTAATTTCAGAGTGGGTGCCGCTTTCTGTTTCAAGCACATCGCAAAATGTTCTTGGCATACTCCCGAAACATGGATTGCTAAATGCTGTTTGAATGCAGCGTTTTATGGAGGCTCAATTGTTAAAAAAAACAAAAATACGGCTCTACGCCACGCACTTGCGCATTGTTGGTAGGTGTACAACTACGGCACTGTAGTTTATCGATCATGTGAGGAGCCTTAGTTGTCTTTATCTGGCCGTGGTACCACTACATAGAAATACTACTACAGTTGAATCTCATTAATTCCAACACGCTTAATTCAAACTTCCGGTTAATTTGAACTCACGAAGAGGTCCCGTCAAATCTATGTGTATTCCAATAGGCGAAAACTCCCGGTAATTCGATCGCGCAAGTACTTCCGGCGGTTAATTCGAACATACCGCGCTCTGACAATGCTCTCAGCACCCCGCTCGATCTCGCAACGGCACCTGCGACACCTCAACGCTGTTCGTGAATGAAATGAAAAGAAAAGAAAAGGCTGCAGTGGAGTGTTCGCTCTCTCTCAAATGCCGATCTGCGACGCGCCCATGTCACGCTTCTCCCTTTTCTGTCTCTGCCACGTAAAGACCGTTCTTTCAACGCCGCACGCGAACAGAGAGAGGGAAAAAAAAGAAAGCTGTCACTGCGTTGAATGAATGTGTATTTGAAAGAAAGGGAAAAGGCACTATCTTCTGCAGCCCTTGCCTCTTGCGGGAGCACGGCTCTGCGCCTTAAAGAGGGGGGGTCTCTCACGCGCTGGTTCCACGCTTCCCCCCTTCCCGTCCCTGCCATGTAACCCTTCTCCTTTCAACAACGCGCTCTAAGAGAGCAAGAAAAAAAAAAGCTGCCGTGGAGTGTTGGTTTTCTCTCAAATGCCGATTTGCTTCTCTCCGCGTGGAGATGCTACTCCTTTCTTCTACCATTCTGGATGCTGCGGCTCTCCGCTACAGTCATTGTTGTCGTTGTCTTTAGAAAGTGTTGCCGGGGGGGGGGGGAGGAAGTGCCGGGACAGACGTATGGATGATGATGGGTTGATGAGTTACTTGAGACTTTGGGACAAAGCACTTCACGCCGTGTCTCCTTCCTATCTGACAATGGCACATTTTTGCGTGCAACTTCTCTTGCCAGGAGAATGCTGAAGCCGAAGTAGAAATGCTTTGAGAGCTGCGTGCGAAATTGATTGACTCGCTGCAAGGTAAATTTGTGTAGACGCACATCACCGATTACTTCAATTAATAACGGATCTCCTGTGATTTGTGAATAAATGTAAGTCTCCTGAAACTTCCCCCTCCTGTGTTAGCTCAATGCACATGCGCCACTGCATGGAGAGCCCTCCGTGTATTTAGCTTTCATTAATTCGAACTTCTTTTAATTCGAACAAATTTTCAGGCCCCTCCGAGTTGGAATTATTGCAATTCGACTGTATAATTCTATGTAAATATTACTATCACATAAACTTTGAGACTTTGGTACTTATACTGTATTTAAAACAGAGTTACCGTGCGCAACTGTGTGCTTAGATTTAAGAACATTTTAAACAGCCCAGACGTTGCAATTAATTCAGACGGCATGCCTTATATATTGTTACGTGGAAAATAACAGTTGTCGGTCCGCAGCCACAACGCAGCTCACTGACAACGTCCACTTCTTTTCTCTCAGTCTGAGGCACCTTACTTGGGTATGCCCCACTATGCCCTCTTTCAGTCAGATGAAATCACGTAACACGACCCCCGGCGGCAAAAGCGCCGACCCGGCGAGTTTATGGGGCCACAGCAGGAGCAGTGTGGTAACGCTTGAGCCTTGATACGTGGACGATGTCCCTTGACAGCAGAGTGGAAGAGGTTGATGGATTATCAGGGACAATTTCATATGTAGTTTCGGTCACTCGTCTAAGCACGCGGTATGGGCCCATGAAACGAGAGAGAAGTTTTTCTGACAGGCCTGCATGTCGCGTAGGGGACAAAAGAAGAATGAGGGAGCCTGTTGGAAAGTGTTCGTTGCGATGCCGCTCGTCGTAACGATGCTTCTGCGAGTCTTGGGATGCTATTAACCTGCTGCGGGCAAGCTGACGAGCATGGTCGGCTCGAGTAATAGCGTCGCGTGCATATTCAGAAGTATACTGCGCAGCGGCTGGCAGGAAGGTATCCAACGGCAATGTTGGTTCGCGTCCAAACAGAAGGTAAAATGGCGAGTACCCGGCAGTGTCATGCCGGGAGGAATTGTATGCGAACGTCACGTAGGGTAGTGCAAGGTCCCAATCACGATGGTCGGCCGAGACGTATTTTGATAGCATGTCTGTCAAGGTGCGGTTTAAACGTTCTGTAGGCCCATTTGTCTGGGGGTGGTGCGATGTCGTGAGCTTATGTTGGGTAGAGCAGGAACGCAGGATATCGTCAACCACCTTCGAAAGAAACGTACGGCCTCGGTCTGTCAGCAGTTGACGAGGGGCTCCATACACTAAAATGAGATCGCGTAGAAGAAAATCAGCAACGTCTGTAGCGCAGCTTGTTGGCATGGCTCGCGTAACTGCATAACGGGTCGCGTAATCCGTAGCCACCGCGACCCACTTGTTTCCGGAGGCGGATGTTGGGAAGGGACCGAGAAGGTCCAAATCAACACGGAAGAATGGCTCCGATGGGATGTCGATGGGCTGAAGATATCCGGAAGGTAGTCTCGACGGCTTTTTGCGACGCTGGCAAATTTCACAAGTGTTGACATAGCGACGTACAGAACGTGAAAGGCCAGGCCAGTAGAAGCGGCGGCGCACACGGTCGTATGTGCGAGAGACACCAAGGTGACCCGCGGTTGGCGCGTCATGGAGCTCGCGTAGGACTGTAGAACGCAGGTGCTTTGGTATGACCAGAAGTAGGTCGTGACCATGGGGCGATAAATTACGCCGATATAAGGTGTGGTCCTTTAAGGTAAACATGTGAACGGAAGCGTCTTGCGGTGAAGATTCGAGCTGTTGTATTAGGCGGCTGATATCCGGATCGCGACGCTGCTCGTCCCCGAAATGAAGCAGCTGGGAGATGGAAAGGACGCAGCCCACAGAATCAGTGCTCGTAGGATCGCAGTCGGCCACAGGGTAGCGTGACAGACAATCCACATCTTTGTGCAGTTTTCCTGATTTGTACACTACGGTGTAAGAATACTCCTGGAGGCGGAGTGCCCAGCGGGCGAGATGACCTGTGGGATCTTTGAGGGAGGCGAGCCAGAGAGAGCGTGGTGGTCGGTAAGAACTATAAATGGTCGGCTGTATAAGTAAGGGCGAAATTTCGCGACTGCCCCCACCAGCGCTAGGCATTCGCGCTCTGTGATGGAATAATTACGCTCCGAGGTGGACAGCAGCCTGCTGGCATAAGCTATCACGCGATGCTGCCCACGTTCTCGCTGAGCCAACACAGCGCCTATTCCGTAACCGCTGGCATCGGTGCGCACTTCCGTCGGTGCCGTAGGGTCGAAGTGAGCCAGCACAGGAGAAGAAGTGAGCCAAGTGGTCAGGTCGGAAAATGCTGCTGCTTGCGAGGGACCCCAGGTAAACGTCTCATCCGGTTTGAGTAAA